AACGGAGAGATTGACATCTTTTACTTCCAGTAATACACTTTGTCAACGAGTGTGAAGCCATGTTTACCTTACAGGTTACTTGACAGGTGATGTCGACGGAGGCTAAGAGGTGTCTTAACTACTGGTGTTGGGTAAAGGGGCATCAGTGGGCTGGAAATTGTCATCTGGTACCTCACTGGCAACTGTATCTGTAGCCGCTTCACTTTCGCGTACTCGAACATGGTCTTGGTGTCGTTGGATGACTGAACCAATCGTCCAAATGGATTCGAGCGGACACTGAACCTGTCTTGACCACCACTTTGCCTGGCATTCTTACACCTGAAATCTTTCATGTGCACACGCACAAAACTAACTACATTATTACAGTATTGCACATATGAAATCGGAAACGGATACTTGGGCTAGAATTAGAAATCTAGGGACAAAAAGACAGTGTTAGAGAATTACGTAAAGAGAGAGAGCTAGTAAAAATGAAGAGATAAATATTAAACGAACATTTGAATGTTCGTTTAAAGAAACAGTATTAAAATACTGTTTCTTACCCTTTTACCTGGGCAACTTATTACATTTAGCGTTGAAGTTTATTACATTCAGGGTAGGGCGATTTATTACATTTAGCTTTTAAGTTTATTGCATTTACTGTTTATATCAGTACATTTTGTAAGTGGAGAAAGAATAAATAAAACATTTATTTATGGCTCAGTCAAACAAAACACACCTAGTTTCATGTAATTGCCAACGAGCAGCCTCGCGAAGACGCGAAGCTGTAAAAGGCACAGCATAATAAAGCCATACGCGAGTTCCAAGGAAGAGTGAATCTCGAAGCGATGTAACCTAAGGTAGTAAAGGTATAACTGCAATTAAAATCTCTCTTCTTCCTTTGATGTTTTTCGTATTTTATTTAGCTACACCCACAAATATGGTCACATCAATTCTATAACTATCAATACGGCACTATTAAGTAAAATCGTCTGTTAATGAATCAGTTAACATCCATCAACATACTCAGATAGACAACTCACTTTGACTCTGAAGATGACGACCGCACATTTACAAGTTGTCGTCGAAACGTCATTCCCATTAAAACAACAGGATTAAGATACACTGACTACTTGATCAATCGTAAACCTTCACTTTTAGTGTTATGCCCAAACATCTTATGTTCAGAATTTACTAAGTAAACCACCGAAAAAGTGCAACTCCATTCTAGTAACTATACTGATATAGTTACTCCTGCTGTAGACACCTTTCCAGCGGTTTGTACCCAGTTAAAAGGCACCTCTCCCTACCCTCACAGCTCAAATTATCTTACATCTGTTCACATTGCTCAACATTCTGAGTGTAGAATTGCGAGAAATAGCTTAAAGGGATCCTATAAGCAGACACGGACCAGAAGACTGATCGAGGCACGAAAGTCCATGACAGAAGCAAGCCACATAGAGCTCATAGACTTGAAGGCAAGTAGTGAATAGGATTCTGTGTACTTCAGCCTCTGGGGTGGTTCACACTCGAATTTTCAAGTGCACTGTGAAGTGCATCTGAAGTGCACTTGAGACTAGCTTGTGTGTACGGGTACTTTTTCACTTGACTGATCTTGACTAGTTGTACTTAGTTGCCACAGAAACTTCAAAACCTCAAGGTGCCGAAGTGCGCTCTTAAGTAAGGTCAAAACCTTCCTTGACACTGTACTTATCCGTTCAAAGCGTTGGATGTTTATTATCTCGAGCCACAAATTCCACTCTCGCGAGCGAGCAAGCGAGAATCGATTTTTGGATGAGGACTGCTGGTCTACACGAAATGTAGATGGGTTATTCTCAGTTCTGATTCATGAGCTAGTTCAGAAATGTCCCAATTTCCTTTTTTTACTGTATTTCCTTCTAAATTCTTCGTTTACCGAGAACTGAACTACAGTTTTTGGAAAGTTGATTTGAGATCTAGAATTTTCGGAACATTTGTTGTAAAATTCCTTGCTTGCCTGCTTCTCCTAGGATTTTTGAACATCTAAAAAATGGTACAATTGCCCACTTTCAACGCATTTTTACCCTAAAACGGCGCTCGATCTCATTCTTCATGGTGGATTCGGATTCTTTATGTGAATGTGCCGCTGGCCTCTCAGAGCCTCTACCCCAGTATAGGCTATTCTGTGGCCAGTTATAGACCCCATCTTGGAGTAACTGTCATGGGGGTCGTCTATTAGACAGGAGGCGTTTATTAGAAGGGGCGTCTAATAGCTGTAAACTGAGGTCTCAGAACCGAAGATAAAATCATTCAACTCTTGTAAGGTGTAAATGCCATAAGCATCAAAGGATTGTAAATTTAAATAAAGATCGTGTGAGTTTTGATTCATTTACATTTAAAAAACATTAATAAAAAGAAAGCAAAACACTATAAATTATGGCAAGTCTTCTGCTTATCTTAAATGATGCGCTTGTAATAAATATCATTAACTGTCCCGTGTTTACTTGGATGAGTTGGATTGGATTTCTTGTTGATTTAAACGGATGTTTTTCTTTCGTTAAACGTTCCGTTTAACCGTCAGACCCTAGAGACTGTGAACACTGTGAAATTGTTAGGACTTCATATTAGCAGTGATTTAAACTGGAATGTCGATTTGTCAGAACTAGTTAGAAAGGTCTCAACAAGATTATATAAGACAGCTTAAGAAATCGCATGTTGCTACAAGAGAGCTTCTTCTATTTTACATCACATCCATTTGCTCTATTCTCAAGAACAGCTGCCCAGTTTTTCATCGCACTCTACCAAGTTATCTAAGCGAAGAACTAGAAAGACTGCAAAAACGTGCTATGAGGATTATTTACCCTGAGCTATCATAATTATTATAAGGCTCTAGAGCTGTCCGGATTTTTGACTGTGTATGATAGAAGAGGGGTAATTACGCAAAGTCGTTAATTCGATGAAATATGCGCTAATCAAATTCACAGTCTCCACAAACTACTTCCAAGTAAATGTAAGCCAAGATACAGGGACACCCAACGACGGTTTTCTCCAAAATGCATTGACAACACAAAGTTTAGGCTATTCTGAGTACTTTTAGATCTTTAGAAATATATTGTAATCGACGCTATAAAATTTGTGTCTGTTCGGTCATCCTCATTCTCGTCCCCAGAGCCACTTGGCTTAATTTGTAACCGACCAGTGTAACCCCTCGTTTCCTGACCACGTGACCAAGAAACGACGGGCTCTGGGGACGAGAATGGGTCATCCTTGGGAAACTTGAGTCTTTTCGAAATAACCATGGCTTCAGTATTATTTTCCCGAAATTTTGAGATGCAATTTAAAGTTTTACGAAAGTGAGAATTTTTGAAATGCACCTTTCCATCGCATTTTCGAATCTGAAAATTTTACGTTTCCTTTTTCTGAGAAAAATAGCTTAATCTGGTGAGTGAAATGCGAAAAGTTAAACTTTAGAAAATCGTAGGTAATTAATCAAATAAGCTTCGAAAATTGTACATGAATGGAACGGTCATCTAGAAGTTCTTAGCCTTCCTCAAAGTATAGAAAATTCGAGGCAATTGTTGCTTATCCGATAGATATTTTACAGAAAACTGTCGTTGGGTGCCCGTGAAGCTACTCTCTGAGAGAACACATAACACTTATTCGTCCAAAGCGTAAAACTGAAAGATGCAAGAATAGTTTTCTTTTAACCCTTTAAGCCCCAATTCTTTAAATTGATTTCTATACATTTCTTTCATAATGAATTGAGATAATTTGATAAAGATCAAAGCATTTTCCCTTACGCGATCATTTTGTTAATTTCATAACCTTATTTCTTGACATTGTATGGATATTGTTAGGAGAAAATTGATGTTGGTCACTATTGGGAAGTTATATTTACAGTAATTGAGACCTAGATATAATTTTGTTTCTTATTGTATACAGGTACTTGACGCATGCATTTGAATTTGTGATTTTGAATACAACAGTTTTAAAATTGAATTGTAAATAATGCCGGATCATCTTTCTTTTATTAGTCGTAAATTATTACAATTGTAAATTATTGCATTTCTAAACCTTATCGCAATTTAGCTCTTTGACTGCAAGTTTTTTAAGGTGAATAAACTATCTATGTAATCTAATCTATCATCTATCTTTCTCGTACCTGACTAACAGCTTTGTAGAATATGAAGATTTGCCGGGAAAAAATGAGTTTAGGGCATAGAGGACGGCCGGGGTAACGAACAAAGACAAATCCGGACAAGTTTGATTACCCTGAAGAGCAGCATCATGACGTTTACGTTAGCGCGACTGGATGTTTCTGTGTTTTTTTAGGACCCTTGGGCAAACTCACTATGTGTTTACGTGTTTACAACAATGGTTCAATTACAAGTGCATTTTAGCAGAACAAACTGGTTGTTACTGGATATTAACCTACTATGTTTAAAGGTAAAGTAGCACGAATATTGTTTACAGTTTGGGTTTTACGTGTAAATTTGTTGCTGTTGTCACAAAAAGGTTTGCCTCTTTCTGTCCGTAACGTTTATTTCCTTCTTTTGAAATGTTATCCTCTTTTTCGTGTTAGTTTCGTTTATTTGAATGAACGAATGAATGCCTGCAGTTTACAAAGACCAATACCCTAGGTTTGATAAGATACATGAAAACCGTATGGAAAGAATTACAAGTTCAATTGATGTTTTCAATAAACGAGAAAAACTATTTTAAGAAATATCTACCCATTCAGTAGCCCATGACGATATTGAAAATTAGAGAGGAGCACATGCACATGTATTTTTTGTACTACTCTAAATCATGTTATCATATTTAACGGCGATCATTAACATGTTGCTATTGACACTTAAACGTGTTACTGAACAAGGCAATCGTTGTCTTTAGTTAGTGAATCTTGCATGAAGTTTGAACATTCGTTCGATGGACAAGGCATGTCCCAATGCGAAGAAATCGTTAAGTTTTTTACCTTCCCAATCAATTCTCTCCCATGGCCCGGCAATGAGGACATGTTTTCCTGAAAGCTGTAAGGGCGCGATTCCAGCTCTTTTCGCCAATATTCCTATATAGGCGTCTTCTAAAGGAAAAGGTGTCAGGCCTTCATTTGAGGAAACCTTAAGTAATTCGAGAAGACTGCTTTTAGATAAAATAAAAAAGGGCCCGTTACAGTATGGAGGGAACAAAGTGTCGTTCAGAAATTTTTCACTAACGAACCATTTATGCTTTGGATTTCTAATAACTTCTCCCCCGTTTACCACAGCGCCAGCATATAGCTTCTCGGGTATAGAAGACGTTTTCAGCCACCAAATCATCTTAGGAACGTGCAAATATACGTCATCGTCCACTTTGACGATAACCTGAATGTCCATGACAGAAGCAAGCCACAAAGAGCTCATAGTCTTGAAGGCAAGTAGTGAATAGGATTCTGTGTAGTTCAGCCTTAAGATGTCGCCGTAAACGGCGCTTTCATTCCGCACGGCGGATTCAACGTCCACTTTTGTGTCATGTCCGCAAACAAACCAGTAGTGGATAACCAAGTTACTAGATGAATTTGAAGGGTTTTTCATCAGTGTTCGAATGTTAGATCGTCCTCGCGCAACAGAGTTGCTTACCAAGAGAGACAACCATGTTTGACGTATAGATAGTCTTCTGCTTGTGTAAAACGGCGCGCTTGTAATGAAAATAATTAACTGCTCATTCGCTTGGATGAGTTGGATTTGATTTTTTGTTGACAGATGGTTTTCTTTCGTTGAACGTTCCTGAAACAGCTTTGTAAAATATGAGGATGTGCCGGGAACGAATTCGCAAAACGTATACGTGTAGAGGAAGACCGCGGTAACAAACAAAGAAAATATCCCGACAAGTTTGATTACCCTGAAGCGCGTCATGATGTTTACGTTAGCTCGACTAGACAATGACTAGACGTTTCAGGGGCAATAAGTTCTTAAGGTTGAGCCGATAACGCTTCGTCGACTGATATTGACAAACGGTCATTAAATTAGATACACCTAATTGCAATAAGGTTGTGATAGAAAAAAGCAAAAAGCCAAATAGGAATTAATTAGCATTAAATTATCATTAAATTATCATTGCTTGCAACATTCACGACACACACGCTTATAGCTGAATATTAATCATGTAATATCGGGGTAATATGAAAGCCACATCATTTGCATCAGTTTCTTGGTGTCATTCTAATGCAATTCGAGGCTGATTCATCTAGCGGATTTCAAACGTGCTCTAATTACAAACGTAGATCGGATAACTACTAAAGAAAAAATGGCTCCATTTTTTTTTTCAATAAATATAGCCTGGGGTAAATTCCAGGAACGCGACGCGTCTTTTCGTTTAATGCTAAATAGAAAAGCCAGTCTGCGTATGGTTTGTAGTGCACAACACCATCAGATCACAATTTTCAAGCAACAAATCAGGGATGTAGGCAGGACTTTCCATCGCAGAGAGGGTGAGGCGTTCCTCCGCCAGTTCCTCTCCCGCGCCACAAACCAAGCCTCGTTTGTCAGGACCCTTTTGTTACACACATCAGTGTTTCATGTGCGGAATCTTACAGCGCGGAATTACAGAATTATTTCTTGTTATTGTGAATGACTTCTCAAATAATTGTTAAATTATTAAAATACGCAAATGTAAATCACATGGCTAATTAATTCCTATTCGGCTTTCTACTTTTTGCTTTTTGCTTTTTTCTATGACAACGTTATTGCAATTAGGTGTACGTTAACTTCGGATTTGTAATTAACAATTATTCCACGAGTGCGCGTTGGATATGAGATGGTTAGGTAGCCATAGAGGCGCTTAGCGCCGAGTTGGCTATGATCATCTCATATCCAACAAGCGCGAGTGGAATAATTGTTTTATTAAAAACGCACACAAAATATCGGTTGTTTTAACAAATAAAGTCAGGAAGTCCTATTTTTGTCCATCTTAAAAACTTGCAGCCAAAGGGCCTCAGTCGACAAACGTTGTCAAATATGCATTGGTCTTAAGGCGAGGAAGACGGTCTCTTAAGGCTTTGCGGCCTCTTTTTTCACTTGTTTACGTGTTATGAGCAAAGTTCGGGATCTTCCTTTTTATCGTTTACCTGGCAAAAGTTCAAGACTCCTCAAGTCCACATTCCAAAATTAAAACTGTAACAGCTTTGTAGAATATGAAGATGTGCCGGGAAAAAATGAGGTAAACGTATAAAGGACGGCCGGGGTAACGAACAAAGACGAATCCGGACAAGTTTGATTAACCTGAAGATTTACGTTAGCGCGACTAGATGTTTCTGTGTTTTTTTACGACCCTCCGGAAAACTCACTATGTGTTTACGTGTTTACAACAATGGTTGAATTACAAGTGCATTATAGCAGAACAAACTGGTTGTTTCTGGATATTCACCCCCTATGTTTAAAGGGAAAGTAGGACGAACATTGTTTGCATTTTGGGGTTTACGTTTAAATTTGTTCCCGTTCGAACTCTTCTCGCCAATATTCCTATATAGGTGTCTTCTAAAGGAAAATGCGTCAGGCCTTCATATGAGGACACCTTAAGTAATCCGAGGAAAGCGCTTTTAGATAAAATATAAAAGGGCCCGTTACAGTATGGAGGGAGCCAAGAGTCATTAAGAAATTGTTCACTAACGAACCATACTAACCATTTATGCTTTGGATCTCTAATAACTTTTAATTTAACCCCGTCTTGCACAGCGCCAGCATATAGCTTCTCGGGCAAAGAAGACATTTTCAGCTACCAGATCATCTTAGGGATGTGCAAATATACGTCTCGTCCACTTTGACGATAACCTGAACGTCCATGACAGAAGCAAGCCACAAAGAGCTCATAGTCTTGAAGGCAAGTAGTGAACAGGATTCTGTGTACTTCAGCCTCTGGGGGGGTTCACACTGGACTTTTTAAGTGCACTGTGAAGTGCACTTGAGACTAGCTTGTGTGTACGGGTCCTTTTTCACTTGACTGATCTTGACACTTTTTTTGCCACAGAAACTTCAAAACCTCAAGGTGCCGAAGTGCGCTCTCAAGTGAGGTCAAAACGTTCCTTGAGACTGAACTTATCCAATCAAAGCGTCAGAAGGTTATTATCAAAGTGTCAATCATCTCGAGCCACAAATTCCACTCTCGCAAGCGAGAATCGATTTTTGAATGAGGACTGCTGATCTCCACGAAATGTAGGTGGGTTTTTCTCAGTTCTGATTCATGAGCTAGTTCAGAAATTTCACGATTTCCTTTTTTACTGTCAGTATTTTTTACTGTATTTCATTCGAAATACTTCGTTTACTGAGAACTGAACACGAGCACCCAAATCAGTTTTTGGAAAATATCTGTTCGGAAGACGATTTGAGATCTAGAATTTTCGGAACATGTGTTGTAAAATTTCTTGCTTGCCTGCTTCTGCTAGGATTTTTGAACATCCAAAAAATGGTACAATTGCCCACTTTTAACGGATTTTTACCCTAAAAAGGTCCCCTAGAATTTTCGGGAGCCTTTTTCTGGCTGAAATTTTCGAAAAGGAAAGTATTGATCCCTATAATTTTCGGATCACTAGACTTTCAGCTAGGAAATCAACAGATGAAACATTTTTAGGGGATAAAAATATGCCTATATCTACCTTTTATATACAAAAATACACTCAACAATGCTATGTTTAAGTGGTTTTGAACTATATTCTCGATGGGTGCCCTTGACTGAAAAAGGCGCCTCAAAAATTGCGTTTTTGTTTTAAGAGTCCGGATACTGGTACCGTCTAGATACTGGGCAACATTCCCTTCCTGTCTTGTTTTTCTAATAAAGCTCTAACATTTATTCTTACTGAAATATATCGCCTTTTTTGGCGTCTTTCTAGAAAATCTTGCACTGTTGCTATTTCTGGCTCTGAGGCTCTATACACCACTAGTGAATACGTGACACTGGGTAAAACTATGGTCTTAAAAAGTAATTCGCATCAAGCTGACTACGTCCCTCCTTTCACAAAAACCTTATAACATTGAGGCAATTATCGGCCTCAGCCAGCTTGTCCTTACCATGCTTATCATATCTACAGTCTTGCCGGAAATGGAGTCCAAGGACAGTGAGACCGGAGCATTGTGGTATGTTCGAAATCATATTATGAACATCTTTATGTCTCTTCTTCCGGAAAACACGGTCCTTACTCTTTCATGGATTACATTTCATTAAATTGCTACTAGACCATTATTAAAACTTACTAACAAGTTCAGCTGCTGGGTCATTGTTGTAATAAACACAGGAACACAATTGTGCAGTCATGATCGTCATCATCAATATCATCTCTCATCGCGGCAGTAGGCGCATAAGGCCTCCACACCAACACTTTCTGTCTTGTGCAACCCGCTTTGGCTACTTCCCAGGTCTTCCACCCCGCTTTGTTTCGCTCTTTCTCGGCAGTCATCAGCGTATTTAAAACAGATAGTTTCCCCACCCATAGTAATCTCTAGGTCATTCAGAAAAAATGCTAAATGAATAAGGTCTGCTTACGCTTCCTTTTGTAGTACCCTTATTTTCATGCTTCCAATCACAGATAACTTTATTATATACCAGCCTTTGCATTCTGTCCTGTGAAAAATTCAACCACCAATTAACAAGACTGGTTTAGAGTAATGTCTTTAAGTTTGTTAGCAAAAAGTTGGTGGTTTACAGAGTCAAATGCCTTGTCAAAATCCATGGTGAACATCTTGACAGCCATGCAGTTGGGATCGTCAAGGAACTTGCACACTTTATGCTGAATCAAGATAAGGGCATCTGTACACGAACTGCCTTCCCTGTACACGAACTGCGAGTTGCTCGGATTGTCCTCTACATTTTCCTGAGCATGGAGCTTGTAGACAACTTTCTCAAAGGTACGAGCGATGACGGATGTCACATTGATGTCCCCGTAGGTCCCTATTGCCCATCGGGATCTCCAGTTTGGGGAGAGGGTTGATGTTGGCCCTCTTCCATGATTTTAGCGTGCGTGGAGAGTGACATGTTCCACAGGCTGGTAAACAATAGGTGTAAATATCTCAGCCTGGTCTCTCCATACCCAATACGGGATCTGGTCCGGATCGGTGGCAGTTTTCTTCAACTTTTTTACCTGGGGGGTACTCAACAAATGTTTAAACACGCGCTACACTCAACAAATGTTTAAACGGGGAGGCTCTGCCTCGAGGTCCAGCTCCTTACCCTTTAATATACCATTTTCATGAAAAAGGTACCTCTTTCGTATACCTTCTATTGACAAATGGTACCCCTTTTACATACCTTGTTAGGAACTTTCCATCCCTTTGAACTGCTTTAAATGCAGTGACTTATAAACAGGAAACAACCACAAAATAGACCGTTATCTCGACTTTATAAAGCCATAAAATTCATCTGTTAGCCCTTTTGAGCCCTTTCACAGACCCAAATGACAATTTTCGCTGCTCTTTTGTATATTTCAACTAGTAAAATCGCTAGGGCTTTTGATTTGTTGAAAATTTGCTTCACCCTATCATACACCTCAAGCCTGAAAAAGGTACCCCTTTCGGGCGGAGTCTCCCCATACAGGCCTTCATAGGGAGTACCCACCCTCCTGGGTCTTTTTAATGCGTAGCAGACCTGTCGTTCACTTTTTGATGAGTTAGGCCTAAAACCAAGTGCTACTGACACTATTTCTTTCTCACTTGAATACGTGTAAACCTTCACTTATTACTTTGTGCGTGATCATCCCATTTAGTCCATCAACTAGGGGGGTTGTATGGCTCACTTAAGGAGAACAAACAAAACTTGTATAATCTTAATCTTTGACTAAAAAGCATCTCAAAAATGCATGATAAGAAGGATAGAGTGGAAGCTTTCACTTTGTAAATAGAGTTTTCATTTTCCACTCATACCCTTTGTTTGGCCGCCATCTTGGATTGATAAACAAACCTTTGATTCCATTCGGGTTTAGAAAATATAACATAAAGATGTACTTCATTTGCATTTGCAAACATCACACGCTGAAAAAAAGCTTCCTACTTATGAGCTGCAGAAAGAGTTATACAACATGTTCCCCCCCCCCCCCGAGAGGGATCTAGATGCTTTAACGACCCTAAAGAAAAACACAACAAGACAGGTAAATAATATAACTATCTACTGCTCTCCACAGTGGACATACGGCTTATCTGTATTAATCCTCTACATTCTTAGAGTCGCAGATTTATTATAGTCTATGCTTTCTAGCCTGCGCGCAGACGAAATTAAACTCTGGTTAACTCCGTCTGCGAAACAGCGCCGAAATCCTTGTTCTGGACTTCCAGCTGTGTACCCAGATTTGAGTACGCGCCACGATTGGCCAGTTAAAAAAGGCCTTTGTTTTGTTTGTCGTGATCGCCAATCAGGTTGAAGGGAAATTCGAAACGCACTTCCGGTAATTCGTTGAGTCCGTTGGGGGTCCAGAACAAGGATCTCTGCGCTGCTTCGCAGACGGTACTAATCAGAGTTTAGTTATCGTCTGCACGCAGGCTAATGCTTTCTTGCGCATACCGGATATTAATTTCAGGACCTCTTCTGGAACCGGCCAAGGTACAAGCCACTCAAATGGCAAGACGTTAGGCCTATATACATTCTGTACTCAACGTGCCTACGAGGGGAGAAGAACAATGGCGTTTCTTAAGTTTGCGGCTTGATAATTGATCTGGTCTAAACATGGCGGCAGACTCTCTAGCTTGACTTTCCCGCCTTGCAGTGGATCTCATAACGTAGCACATCCACAGTGAAAGGCTTCTTTCAGCATAGTTCACACGCGGGTACGTCCGAGCTATGGTGAGTATCGGGAAGCACCCTCCATTGAGTTGGAGAAGCTCGACTGCTTTCCACTTCCCTTTACCAAAGAAGTCAGAGATGTTATCAGAGCTAGTGATCGAGTTTACACCGATATTAAGGACTCTCATGAAGCAGTGGTTAGCATTGCCTGGGTGGGGTTGCATAGAAAGATCTGTTATTCTGGTCATCGTGCCTCTTCCCTATTTCACACGGCACTTTTCAAAGTCAAGGTCATCACATCAGTTTCATCAGAATGCATCATGCCAAGATTCCTGTGCGCATGCCTTGCATAGAGAACCATACGCGTATCAGCCTCTTCGTGACTGAACCGTACCTTATGAACAGGTTCTCCCTATGTAGCTGCGTCTAGTCGCTAGCACTGGTCCCTATTTCACACGGCACTTTTCAAAGTCAAGGTCATCACATCAGTTTCATCAGAATGCATCATGCCAAGATTCCTGTGCGCATGCCTTGCATAGAGAACCATACGCGTATCAGCCTCTTCGTGACTGAACCGTACCTTATGAACAGGTTCTCCCTATGTAGCTGCGTCTAGTCGCTAGCACTGGTCTTCGGTTGTCACACCCACATGATCCGGTTGCCGAGTCTTCTTCTAAATGTTACACTGAGCAGCTCGTTCCATGACTTCATTGTATAGACAGGGAGAAAGTTCTTATATTGTACACTGCATGAGGTAGACATAATTTTCAGTCTCTTTGACTTTTTTGATCAACATCTCGCGCTACACATCATCTCCGCGCCTGCTGCCGGTGCTTGTTACCATTTCAAACTCTCTAAACGACTAAATGGAACATAGCTCCAGAAGAGATCTACAACTTCTGCAAGATTGTCATTTCATCGCAACTGTTAGTTACGTTCTCTGGGTATTTCATGGTGACTGTGGTGCGTCACTCTAGCTGCTTGGAGAGTCTGGATTTGCTTGTCTTTCGCGGGAGTCCTTTAGGATAGCTAACGGTCCAAGGAAGAGATGGAGGACTCTTAAAGTTGTTTTAAGTGTGAAAACAACTTTGTCATTATGATGAAACTGTCCGACAAGTGCCATTTGCGCCAAAAATCGCAATTCATACCAAGAAGAAATACTAGATCCTTGTTGCGAACCCTACTACAGCCATCAGCTTGGCAGTGTTCACTGGATCAAGATAATTTGAAGTGGAATTGGATCTAGCAAAGGCTCATATTAACAAATTCATTCCCTGGCTGTGTGCGCCCGTACACGCGTGGGATGTCGCACGCACAAGGCAACAGGAACATTATCGCTTTAACTGTTTGTTTTGTGTTTGCTTTGGCATTTTAAAACTAGCCTACGAGCAGGCTCACATGTGCGATTTCGGGGAAAAATTTTGGCGACAATTTTTGCAAGGAAATAATTTCTCTGTCTGTTGTTTTGTTTTTGCCAGCCTGCGTAGCAGGAGGCGACTTAAGCTTTTTTCCCCGTACTCGCACGCATAAGTGAGCCTGCTCACAGGCTATTTCAAGTCAATTTATATTTAACTCACACAGAATATAAGTACTAAATGCTTTTCAACATGAAAAAGAAAAAAAAAATGTAAGAAAGGATATGAAATTATTTCAATTTTAGGTTGATAATTGTGCAGACTGAGTCAGTGGGACGCTTAAATAGTTCGTAGAACTAACCCAGTAGTTCAAGATCTAGAATACGAGCAGAAGGAATTTTAAAAATATAATGACGAAATAGTTGGTTTAGATAAAAAGTATTACTTCATTAATTAAATAGTAGTAGTGAAAGGTAATACAATCATAAAACGTCAGCAATTAATAACACTATTATTATCATCAATAATAGAATTCTTGACATTTTGACGAAATCTAAAAAATCAAAAAATCGTTGCCAATTTCTTGTTGAGCGTAGACGTCGGTGTACTTAGCTTCTAGCGGTAAGCATAGTTAACTGGCCGAAGAATGGCGGAGAACATTAAATAGTTCTAGCTGCACAAATTGAAAAGGTACCATTCCCTCTCAAAACAAAGTCGACCGCATTTTTGCTCTTTTTCATGCATGACCTTTTTTCCATGAAAGGGGTTTGCGAAGTGTTTCAGTTATTGTAATTGATTTGAGATGTAAATAGCTGTCAGTGAAGTGTTTTTCTGGTGGTCAGATAACACGTCAACTCCTACTTCCTTTCCAAGAAAAGCAGATTAACTAAGAATTGATTCCCAATCCTGATAAATAACTGAACTCCAACCTAAAATTGGGAAAACCGAGTTGTCTGTACTAACGAGGAATTAATATTACACTTGGAGTGCGCCTTTCTTGGTTTTTGCATAAGTGGGCCTGCTCACAGGCTATTTCAAGTCAATTTATATTTCACTCAAACAGAATATTAGTACTAATTGCTTTTCAACCTGAAAAAAAATATATATATAAGAAAGGATATGAAATGATTTCAATTTTAGGTTGATAATTGTGCAGACTGAGTCAGTGGGACGCCTAAATAGTTCGTAGAACTAACCCAGTAGTTCAAGATCTAGAATACGAGCAGAAGGAATTTTAAAAATATAATGACGAAATAGTTGGTTTAGATAAAAAGTATTACTTCATTAATTAAATAGTAGTAGTGAAAGGTAATACAATCATAAAACGTCAGGAATTAATAACACTATTATTATCATCAATAATAGAATTCTTGACATTTTGACGAAATCTAAAAAATCAAAATAACGTTGCCAATCTCTTGTTGAGCGTAGACGTCGGTGTACTTAGCGTCTAGCGGTAAGCATAGTTAGCTGGCCGAAGAATAGCGGAGAACATTAAATAGTTCTAGCTGCACAAATTGAAAAGGTGCCATTCTCTCTCAAAACAAAGTCGACCGCATTTTTGCTCTTTAACATGCATGACCTTTTTTCCATGAAAGGGTTGCGAAGTGTTTCAGTTATTGTAATTGATTTGAGATGTAAATAGCTGTCAGTGAAGTGTTTTTCTGGTGGTCAGATAACACGTCAACTCCTACTTCCTTTCCAAGAAAAGCAGATCAACTAAGAATTGACTTCCAATCCTGATAAATAACTGAGCTCCAACCCAAAACTGGGAAACCGAGTTTTCTGTGCTAACAGCACGCTTCGTTAAAAAAAAAAAAAACATGGAGCAAGCTTCCACCATTGATCAAAACGAACAACAACATGAAGACAGCAACTCAAGGTATACCGACATTTTTAACGCAGTAAGGAACGGGACTGAAGTGCAAGTGAGAAATTTTTTGTCACAACTAAGAAGTATAAACACCACCGTTAGAGAAATAAACGAAAATGGAGAGGAAGATGTGGGTGAGAGACCATCTTACAGACAGAAGCTTCTTAATGCTCTCGCAGAAAAAAACACTGGTGAGGTATGGAGCCTTATCGCAGAAGGTAATGAAGAAGAGATAAAGACTCTAGAAACGCTTAACAGTATCTGCGAAACTGTTGCGGAACACGAGCGTCTGAGGCAAGCTGGCCTTTTCAGCTGCATGCTGGGCAAACTTCAGAGCCAAATAAGATGCAACGGTCCATGTGGATGTGGCCGAAGCGGACGTGAACGGGAAGGAGAGAATTACCAAACACAACTGGAACGCGAAGAGGAACAACAGTGGATAGACATACTTTCCGATCCACTGTATATCGGCTTGAATTGGTTATGGACGACCAACCCAAACGGTGGATCACCGACCTCTCCTAATCAACATGGAACAAAGAGGGAAGACGTCATTGAAGGTGCACTGCACGATGCTAATCTCTTGGAGAAAATTGCTCTGTACGAGCATCATTACAGCCGAGACGAGTACACGAGGCGATCGGAAGCATATGAAAAATTTGCCATTGATGTTGTTGAAGGAAGTACTTGGGACCAACTCCTTCAGATAATGGATGACAAGAGAACTGGATGTCTTTTAACGAAAAAGCCAGGTGATTTTAACCAGAGTCTGAGTCTACTCAAGACTGCTGCTGATAAAGAAAGAAAGCTGGTATGTATGGCTTTATTACTTATATGCCCTTCCAAAATTCAACGTTCGTTTGCGTTTCTTAGTTTTCATTTGACTTTTGTTGTCGCAGATTCCCAAGACAGTTTCAGTAGACAACTTTGGAGTTTAGAAATGTAATTTCTGGTTTTCAGATGACGACGTCATCAAAATTCAAAACTAAAGAATTATAGGTCCTCTTTCATGAAGCAATTAGAGCAGTTGAAAACTAATATTTATACAAATTTGCGCTTTGAAAGCACTCTTTGTTTTGTTATAGAGTGCGTTTGCATAATTCCTAAGCATGACGCGGGGTGTATGTAATCTACCTTACAGACATGAAAAAAATAAAATAAAATAAAAAAAATAACAATAAAGTCACTTTGCATACATAACAAAAACGGCTAACCTTTTTGTTATGTCTATAGGCTGAGATTATTGCATATTTAGCCGTTGTCTAAACACCGACGCGGTACTGTTTACATGACGGCCGAAGGAGCTGTCATGTAGATTAAAAAAGTGAATTGTTTCAGTTCTTGTATTAGAAAACTATTACTTTAATGTTTGTGAGTTCCTCGAGAAATGAATAGACCTATTCGGCTATTAAACTCAATGTTGTACCCAATTCAAATCGCTCGTGA